TGGACCAGTCATTATTTATCCCCTAGGGGAGGGGGTTGGAGGATTTTGGTTATGTCACAACAAAAATTACCTGATTAACCTATCATGCGTTGTAATATTCTTATGATCCCCATTCATTAGCAGTAGTCAATATTCTTCGTACTCTGTTGGGGACGACTGATTCCTTTCGTTTCCCCATGAAAACCATATGATCCCCCCTTAAAACCCTACACCCTTCCAGGTACTAAATAATAAGTGGTCCCTCATGAGAAAGGAGAAGTATACCGAGTCGGAATTTCTTTTTTGCCAATTATTTCTTGGGGGCTTCGCATACACTCTTTGACCCCTTTAGCTACAACCCTTGATGTTGCACATCTACTATATTCAATAGGCGTACCACATTGCTTGAAAGTCGTCTCTGTTAGGGCAGCAATGAATCTTCTGGAATATTGTAACCCTGACTCCTCACCTACATCAGAGTCAAACATGTAACATACGGCCACACACAAGAACAGACTTTTCACAAGCAACGTCAGATCAAATATCGTCATCAAGCGAACAGGGTCGCAATAATTCATCGCGCACTCCAGAGTGCACGATGAATTATTGCGACCGATCGATCGAAATGAAACGTACCTGCTTTTTCACAAATACGGCCTACGGTGTAGTGCAGGGCAGCTTTTAAACGCTGTGAAATAAATTTTACGATCAGAATAAATTTAAAACTATTGAAAAGTGACTACATCGGAAAAATCCGACCTGTTGATAAGCCAGGGCTTCGTATTCTTCATCCTCTAAATCGTCTCCTGATGCCGCCATAACTAAATTTCGCGCTTTCCGGTTCCAGTCTACCGCTCAGCAAAGACAGCCATTCGTTACCACTCTCCTCTCTGTGATTCATGTCTTTTTAGAAGAATTAAGAACTGTTTACTACTGTTTACACTTATTTATGTTTGTAATAATTTCTTCGAGACTAGTTCCAGAATTAGATAATTTTTAACAAATAATCGTAAGTTAAAAGGGAAGTTACCAATGACAACGTGGATAGAGTATTCTTTTATTAAGGAATCCCTATTTGTTCCCAGCGGGTTCTTTGACTAGTGTGGTCCATGAACTCGAATCTTTTTCTTTCAGTGTTTTGAAGAGACAAGTCATAATTAACACTCCAAGTCTCTCTTTATTGTGCTAAGAAGGAAAAAATCCCGAGAACAATAGATGGGAACAAAGGTTCTATTGCTATGGTTACGCCCCGTATACACGAAAGGATTTTTCAGTTATCGAACAACATGGCGGCCACCACAAGGGAATCGCCGTCCTCACGTTATCCTAGTGAGAAATCGGTGAAAGAAGCCTTAGATATGCTTAAACCTCCTGGTATTCTATCAAAGGTTGGCCTATTTCATCTGAAGTTTTATCTTGTTGCCATATCTGTCATCGAAAAAAATATAATTGACTTCTAAAACGTAAGAGAACGAATTCTGTCGCGCTTTCACGAAATATCACTAAATGCGATTTATTTATTACTGACAGGCCTACAACCAATTCCAACTAAAAAGATATCAGGTTAGTCCTTTTTTTGTCTTTTATAAGTCAACCTCTGAATCTATCAACCTGGGAGTTTTTGGTTCCGTCCCTCCTTCAATTAACGTGAATTCTTTTGAATAGATCATATGTTTTACGATGGCAAAGTGAAACTTCTATACCACTATTTATGAAATTCAGAATTTCTGAGACGTGTTGAGAGGTCCTTAGTAGTTTGACTGTAAGAATGTGTTTGCATCTGTGCCCTGAAACGTCTGGTTCCGATCTCAGTACCTGTGCGAGCTCCCCTTTTGTGATCGAGTCCCCTTTATTTTCTCAAATCCAAGATCCAACGTTCGAACTAATGTTTAAAGGTATTTCAGTCATAGATATCAATTCCTTATCAAGGATGTGATCAAACTCTCAGATCAAAGCCAATATCTAACCATCTTGACCAAACACCTTTTCTCTTTAGATTACACCAAACAAGTGCGAAATAACATGATAACAAAAATATCGTGGTTTTCACAAGTAAATAGAATCATACTTTTGCCTGCAGATGATTTGTAATTTATGATATGTAAGTTAAGAAGTGATCCTTATACGTGAGCAGCAATCAAACAGATTGCAGAAAAGAAGCCTGAAGACAAGTCAGACTTTTAAGGCATTTGAACCAGTTCCTCCTGGATACTAGTCAAAAATTATTATTATTAAATTATTATTCATATGGTTTCAGCTGTGTTTGCTCCTTTAATGCTTTGCAGAATAGGGAAACAGGAATGTTTTTTTTTGTTTAAAATATGGCAGTGGTTCTGAAGTATGTCAGCTAGCTTTATATAATTTATGCAACTGAAACTAAGGATACAATACAGAATGAGGAAAATGGTCCCTTGAATTTTGAATCAAAGCACAGGATTAGCTTCATCTTGCCTGCAGAGATTGGTCATAGGTTCAAAAATATTTACATAACATGTGCCAACTTTGAGCCTTTTGTATCATACCAGCATAATTTTCAGAAGGATGAACCAAATTCAGTTTGAATTCTTCACTCTTTCATCACATGAACATTAAGGGTCTTGTTAACTTAAATCTTCCTCAAAAATTTATGAAAAGGGAGGGAATCTTTTTCAGGGAAATTACATAAACCAGGGCTGGCCCTGTAAACATGATGACATGTCAAATATCCATAAGTTTCCAGATTAAAGTTTGTTGCCAACCCTTTAAATTGCTAAAATTTGCTATTCATAGTCACAGAAATGACAATATACAACATTCCAATTGGAATTAAGTCAGATTCTACTTCAATGATACTCAAGGAAATTGACAGGACTTCAGTATCGATGCTTTATAGCAACATACCTATCCACTTTCTGGCCCCATTATTTGCACTAAACCCTCAAAAGGAAATAAAGGACCTAATCACATTGACCAAGAGAGCATTAGGAAGGTTATAGATATTTTCTAGAACACCATGCACTATAGATCTGTTTAAACTATTTTGTGGATGGTCTTTGAAAAGTCTCTCAGTTATGTTGTTTAATGAATTGCATCATACACATCAGCATATATATCAGATGTGATACCAGGTAGTTTAAAAGGCTTATTTAAGGTTTTTTTTACAGACCTTGATTATATCTATGATAATGATAGGAAATCAACACAAAATTAAAAACATTGACCCTTGGCTCTATTGTAGTGTTGCCCCACTCAGGCTTGAGGAATATTTTTATACTCTGTATTGTTTCTTGAGATTCTTTTTTTTTTTCTCAGTAGTTAATTTTTTGGCATAATTTAACTGCTATGTACACTTTGAATAAGACAAGAGTAAACATAAACAAACCATAAGTGAGATTTGTCTCTAAATGAACTAGTTTAATGTTCAGACAAGTTTTAGATTTACAATTACTATGGCAACAATGGTGTGATAATTACAGAGACTTGCTCACTGATTATGTTTCACATCCTTCTACACCTTGATTTCCTGGAAAACTTCTAATTTCCCTGCAACAGTGTCTTATAGGCAAGTTAAGTCTTTTTTGTAACATATTTACATTTAAATAGAAATAAGAATAAATATTGTCCTGATGCAGGTCTGTTGAAATAAAAAGCTTAGGACAATAACGAGTCTATGTAATGAAGTGTTAATTACGTCCTAATTACCATGAAAAAGGGATCGCTTTCAATAAATGGGGTCTCATCGCGCTTGAGTTGTTTTTGTTCAATAATCTGATTAATCCTGCAGGTGATATACTTTACAACACAAAGCCTGTTGCCAAGCAACCGTCTTACATTCTTCATTGACAGAAAACGAATCGTTTGTTGCATTTTTACAAACAATCGAACCAAAGTAAATCGAAGCCTGATCGCAGCTCGTTCCTTTTCTTACTCGAAATTCACGTAAAATGGGCGATTACCCCGGTAGCGGATACAAAATGTCTTCATACGGTCTTAAACTTTACAATCCTCAAGAAACTGTGGGCCAGTGGACACAATGTTGTAAGGTACAACACACCTGCGTGAGGAAACAGACTGCAATGTGTTATTTTGTTGTTGGTTGTGATTTGGGCGAAGAAGCTAAACTTTTCCACTTTTTATTGATTTTAGCGCGAAGATGCGATAAGGAAGAACCATGTTGTCACTACAGGCGGAGAAGGTGTAGCAGACTCGTGGAAAGTCGAGAGACCAAAATCTTTAGATCTTGCACAAGATACCAGCTATTTCCTTGCCAAGACAGCGGTATGTCTGATGTTACTTTTGCCTCGCCAGTTCCCTCTTTTTTGAAGATTCGTGCGTATGAAGTGTGAAATGTTCACTTATTAAGTTCATGTTATTGACAGAAATAATTTACAGTTATCTGCTGTTGTGAGAACGGTACATTAGCGTGGCCTGACAGCACGAATTTGTTAGATTAAATGAGATCTGTTACTAGAAGTTTGCCGTTAGATCTGTCTCCAGTTTGCAGCGTATGTTGGTGACGAAATGATGAATTTGCAGACACTTACTAATAGATATTTTACCTCCAAGATCGGAAATCTTTGTGTTTTCTTTTTTTCTGAGTACCTGATTTCTTACCCTAAGTTTGAGAAACAGAAAATATTCTGGCGATAAAGGTGTAAGTTTTTCTCACCTAATTTCAATCAAAGCACGGCTTTACCTTTTCATGTATGGATTTACTTATCGTTATCTTGTTTTTTCTTGTAGCATCAAAGACCTTCTACATACGATCGAATAAATCATGTTGTTGAGGGATACGATCAAAAACTCCACCGTGACGACAGAGAACACGCAAAGTCACGAGGACTTACTGTCAATAGAGAGGTAAGTTTTAGTCTTTTTTTGTTTTGTTTTGTTTTTGTGTTTATTTCTTATCTCTAATTCGTTTGTAGAGGCCCCCTGGTCGAAATATAAATTTGTCAGAGTACTTCTCTTGATGAGTCCCTTATAGACTAAACAATGTTGAATACATTATGAAGAATTGAGAGCGAGGGTTTGATTTGCTCGGAAATTGGATCTGCTCTGAGAATTGGAGTATGATTTTGATATACCGGTACTTAGGGAAGTGAGGCAGCGGGAGGCGCTTACACGAGAAGGGCGCTCACCCGGGGGAGGGCGCTAATTAGAGAGTTAGCGGTTATTCGAGGAAATACTGGTACAAAAAATTGCAAAATGGAATTCGTTCTTTGACTCCAACTTAAGTGTATTACCCTTTTTTTTTGTTTTTTGTTTTTTTTTGGAAGTAACTCTCACTTTAGTTGGGAAAAGTTTCTCTATGCATATTCAGCTCAGTGGGAACGTCTCAGTGACAGGAACACATACGTATGGGGATTTCCTTCTTGAGTGAATCTTATTTTTGTTGTTTATCACCTTATTAGGAGATCAGGGTGCCAGTACCTGCGCGGTCCTCGTCTGTGTACGGCCATCCGCGACTGAAACCTCTAGAGTTCACAGACCGGAAACACGTCAGAGTAGAAATTTGTAAAAAAGACTTCCTTAGGTTAGGAGGAACCAACATTGGAGATGCTGACTAATATTTGACTCTTACATCAAAGAATTCTTCCACTCACTCAACAGCCCAAGAAGTTGTAATCTATGACGTATCTTAATTCTTATGTTTGAATATTGCGGCGCGACTGATGCGAGCGCGGGATCCTAGTGAAATTCATTAAAAATGAGAAATGGCTTAATATTACAAATATCGTTGCCGAAACCCTGAATAGTGATTCGTAGAAGTTCACATGTGATGACGTGCACGTGAGATATATTGGAGTATAGTTTCAATATATTATATGGAATTTCTTTTTCTTAAAAGTAGCCTGGAGGAACCTTGAAAAGTTCACACCTGCCGCTTACTTTTTTAGTTTGTTTGTTTGTGCGCTGGTTTAATTTATTGTAGTCATCCCCAAGCGGTAACCTTTTTCACAAGGAAACTGGGTTTTATAATACAGCTGTTCTGTTCAAAGTTGCTGGCGCAAATGTGGCACAAATGTCAGTCTTCTATCGATAATAATAGCTCAGGACATCAGGTGTTTGTTTCAATGTTTACTGAAGTAACTCTGGTCTTTTTCTGTTTGATATATTCGAACTTTTAGTAATTTTTAGTCAGAAGTAGCTTAAATCGTTCTGCTTTTAGGCGTCTATCATTTCATCCCTTTTGTGGGATGAAAAATTAAATTAAATTAAAAAAAGGGATTCGTCTACACACAGTTTGGCTTAAATTTTGCCTGAAGTAACGTCAGCTTGACGGAACCGAATGAAAATATCAGTCAATGACTACAAAAGCTTCAAACGAACATTCAAGCCGTACTTTTCTTTTTCCAGTGATACACAGAAAATAAAAAACTAATGAACAATTCTTCCCGAGTAATACAGTGTACACCTTTCTGTAGTCACAGGACCAAATAAACTGAGAAGTACTTTCCATTCCTCACAGAATGAGTTATTGTAGGTTTTCGTAGGAGGTCGTTTGCACAACACTTAATTTAATTGTACGTATTTTAAGACTCCAGTTTGAGCTGCGTTGCTAAAGCGGTAGATAGGACCCTATGTGAGTGTCGTTAGGGTGATCCTAATGGATCTCTTGGGTACTGATATTTTCACTACGCTTCACACCCTGATCCTGTTTAGGACAAAATCCGGTCATACCGTTACCGTGCTCACGAAAAAGAAATTTACCGATTGTTATACATCTATCACATCCTGCTTCGTGTAGTGTTTTCAGATAGAATG